TATGAGGCCTCCTCCAACCCCTACAGCCGCACCCGGTCCTCCGGTCTTATACAACAAGACAACAGAAACCTCACACTCCTGTGTTACAACATAAATTCCAAGCCAAACTGGCTAACCTTCCTTCATGTCCCTACTCGGGTTTTCTCCACCCAGTATCCTCATGCAGAAACCGCGCAGACCATCAGGCTTCACCGTCCTCAACTGCCAGAGGGGAACTGAGCTCCCTGGCTTCAGCCTGGGTTACCTTTATATAGGCCAGGCCCTGCCCCCTTCCAGTCAGATGACCAAACTGGTTGTCTCGGCAACCCGCACCTGTGCTGCCCTGGTGACTGGCAGCTGAGCCTCCCCCTTCTCACCACTAGGGGTCTCTCACGGGTCGCTTCCATTTTAGGCGCAGGGCGCTTAAGTGCCCCGCGACAGTTGCCGATGCGAAGGATCGAGGATCAATGCCAGGAGGTCTAAGCAGCTAGGCACCGAGTGCTGCCCGCAAAGACCTGAACGCGCTTTTCTGCACCTTGCAAAACCAAGTTCTCTCAATAGTTAAAAATCCCACTGAAGAGCACAGAGCACTATAGTTCACCCGACTTGGCGAGTCACTGAGTCTCCTGGGCTGTCTGCACCAAAGGAACAGACTGAGAGGGGATTTGATAGCTCGCTAGGGGCTGGAAGCGACCTTGCAGATCATCGGGTCCAGCCCCCCCGCTCTAGGCAGGAGGACAACTGGGGTTAGGTGACCCCTGCGAGGTGACCATCCAGTCTCCTTTTGAAAACCTCCAGGGCAGGTGACTGCACCACCTCTGGAGGGAGCTTATTCCACAGCTTTTCCTGGTATTAAGCCTGAAGCGGCCTTCCAGGAGTTTGTATCCATTGGTCCTGGTCTTCCCCAGGGGTGCTGTAGTGAGCAGCTGTTCACCGAGCTCCTGATGTGCTCCTCTGATATAGTGGTAAACCACTACCAAGTCCCCTCTCCACCGTCTCTTCTTTAGGCTAAAGAGGCCCAGATCCCTCAGCCTTTCCTCGTATGGCTCGCCTTGCACGTCCCTGATCATACAGGTGGCTCTTCTGTGGACCCTCTCAAGTTTTTCCACGTCCTTGTTGAAGTGCGGCGCTCAGAAGCGGACGCGGTGCTCCAGCTGCGGTCTCACCGGTGCTTCAGCTCCCTGCAGGGGTTGCAAAGAGGATGGGGCTGGGCTGTTGCCCATGGGAGCAGTCGACAGGACAAGGAGCAATGGGCTCAAGTTGCAGCAGGGGAAGTTGAGGTTGGATATTAGGAAAAACTCTCTCTTTGGGAGGGTGGTGGAAGCTCCATCCTTGGAGGTTTTTAAGGCCTCACTCAACAAAGCCTTGGCTGGGATGATCTAGTTGGGGACGGTCCTGCTTTGATCAGGAGATTGGACTAGATGTGACCTCCTGAGGTCTCTCCCAACCCTCATTTTCTATGATTCTGTGACCAGCGTACAAAAACCTTCTTAAATCTGTGTAATTTTCCTATAACTCCTCCCCTTGTCAACCAGGGAAAAATAGCAAAGTCTGCTCTGCCTTAAACAATCCTGTGATTAAAATGACCCTTAGGTAAAGGGCTGCTTCCATGCCAGGCTACCCAACCAAGATGTAGCGCCAAAAATCAGAGCCAAAGTGACCAAAGCTTAAAAAGTATTTTCACTCAACTGCCTCTCCTGAGCAAGCCACATCAGAAAGAGCTTAACAGGCCACAAATCCGGGTAAGAGGAAAGCAGGCCGTAAACATCAATCTCACCGTCGCTTTTCCTGGGAAATCCGATTTGCAGTAAGTCTCTCCAGGTACGTACCTTATTTTTCATGCCCTTTTCTGCTCTCCAAGCATTGAAGTCAAGACACAAGCAGCGGACCAGAAGCCAAGAACAGGAGCTGCTGCTCCTCCAAAACTCAGGAAGCGCTTCGTCGACTTAGAAACCTTTGTGTGGCTAGTCTGTAACCAAGAAAACACACATGCTTCCTAGGCTGACTTCCAAAAGAGCTGGCAGCAATCCACACACATATACTATGTACACATCCTGATACCTCAGTCTGAGTTCTCCTCACTCAAAGTCTATCTACGCTACAGTCTAGTGAGGCAACCCCCCCATCCACATCTTCTACTAGCTAGTTTTACACCCAGCAGCACGGGGTACAGTGTGAGCAGCAAAATCCAGCTGGCAACCAGGCGATTAGCTCCAGGCTGCGGCTGCTACATTGCAGTCTGCTCCTGCTCTCACCCAGGAAGTTGCTAAACACATCCAGAAAGGAGCTCAGCATCCTCCCTCCTTGTCAGCGCCAAGCACCAAAGCATCTGGGATCTAAGTGTTGGGTTCGTTCTGCTGGAGGATGAGGGCTAGCCTTGGAGTTGGGATTTGCACTTCAGGTTCCCAAGACGCCAAGTTCCAGTGTTTTTGGACCCAGAGAGGCTTGTATATCCTTTGCAAACCCAGGCTGAATCATGAGCAAGCCTACAGTTGGATCGACTTATGATTTGGGCGGGGAAAACCACCCTAAACTCCGCTGTTTGGGCTAAGACTTCAGGGGATGAGGTCTATTAGACTGAAAACAGAGCCAAATTCAAAGACAAATCACCTCGAACCAACCAGATAGAAGTGCTGTTTGCACCCTCACAGTAAAAGCATGGAGCTATATGAAGTCCCAGGACCAATCTCCATAGCATGCTAGTGACATTTCAGCAATGATACAGAGAGAAGAAAAGATCCATGCCTATATTTCAGGACTGACTGGTTTGCCACTGAAATGGAAAACTAACTCCCCCCGTGGCTTCCAGTCGGCATAGGATAGCACCACACTCAGACACTGTAATGAAGGACATTCGAAAAACCAAATGGATAAGATACATAAAATAAACAGGCCTAAGTCCCTTGTGTGCCTGGCAATTACCAGGGCCTACGTATCACACGATGCACTCTGCCCAGGGGCCAACATTGTTCCTTTGTTATTGCAATAGCTTCTCGGTGATCTCATGTGTTTTTGTTCTTTTACACTGAGGATATAAATCTTGCATAAATGCAGCCCGAGACAGGTTGTTATTTATGTGACCACCCCACAAACATTTTCTCTTCCCTCTGGTCCATCTGGCAGCAGGAACAGGAAGGATTCGGTGAAGGGGCAGCGGTCAATGTAAAACCCCTGCCAAATCGCATGTTCTGCTTCACACTCAAATTAAAACATAAAGAATTAGCCTGTGCCCCAGCTCCCACTGCCTGCAATTATGACGGCAATGCTGTATGCAATGATCCCCAGGAAGCTAACTGACAGGCACAGGTGAGGAAGGGGAGCAAGCACCACTTTGCTGGCCTGGCTTTAAACCGAGTCTGTCTTGGACACCACTGGATGGTGAATGTCAAAGTCCATCTTTGTTCCAGTGGTCCAGTTTGCCTCTGCTTTAAATAAGGCCTTCACTGAAGACCAAGTCTGGCTTCAGTTTGCAAGGACTAGCCAAGGGACAGCTGTATTTATGGCTGTGTTGGAAAAAACATTCAGTTTAGGCCTGGACTCGTTAGCGAGCCTTCCCCAAAGCTCTCCACTAGCTCACCCCAAGCTGCAATGGTCCTACAGCTCTCTGCTTCCCCCAGTTATTTGGTGAGCCCTTTAGAGTGACACCAGCCTCAGCTCCCCCTTCATCTCACAGGTGCCTGCACTGACTGCCTTGCTAGATCCTGATAAGAGCATGAGAACGGGGATTTCCCGAGCCAGGCCCTCTAGCACGGTGTTTCACGTGCTGGGAGAGTAGATGCTGATGGGGAGGTTGAGCAGGCCACGTCCAGAATATGCAACCCCCTGCTCTGCAGCTCACAGCATGCAGAGCCTGCAGCCCTATGTACGGGGCTCGAGACCTACCAATGGACAATTGCTCCAAGTTGGTCCAATCCCCTTGTGAACGCTGCTAAATGAACACGCTCCCAAAGCCTATGCCGCACTCCAGCCCCTCACCTCACTCAGCTGCCTCCTGCACCCAAAGTCTAATTCAAAGAGCAGAAAGGAAGAAGAGAATGGGGTGAAGTAAAAAGAGGAGCAAAATGAAACCATTTTTCCCCATTAACAACCAAAGAAGGTTGCACCCTAGGAAAAGCTTGAGAGCAATGAGTGGTGAGGTGGCTCTGGGGTTGCCTATATGGGGCTTAAGTCAGCACCAACGGCTCTGAGTGTGAACCTGCCCGATCCCAGCACCTTGGTAACACACAGAAATGTTCAAGCGTGTAAGTCGACAAGGCAGGGGCCTTTTCTAGCTATTCATCCGGTGTCTGATCCAGCCCCGCAAACAAAGCATCTGAACGTCTCCAGGCAGCAACAGCAATACTGGTATCACTCCTTGTCAGCCGATCTGGTCCACAAGGCTCCTAGGACAGGGCACGAACAATGAAGAACTCAGGTCCCGGGTCGCCCGTATTTTCCAGGGCAACGTCTATGTCCTCCTTCAACTCCTCCGCTCTCTGGTTACTCCTCTGTGCAGGCACTGCAGCTGTTCAGCCTGCTGTTGGCTTGCCTTGTTGCAGAGGAGGCTTGCATGTGCCATCACCTTGCTGAGACATTATTCCGACTATGGCTCCCTCGCTCTTAGATCTGTTTGCTTCTGCGTCCTGTGGCTCGGTGCCACTTCTGAAGCTACATGCTGCGCTATATAAGAGACCCCAGCAGCTTCAAGCAGCTGGGAACGCTTGTACTGTGGTCCAACTCAGAAGCAGCGTGCAGGAAACTCTGGTAAGCTGCAACTCTCTTTCTCCTTAGTAACGCACTGTAAATTCCTTAATCCATGGCTGGGCAGAGAGAAACGAACTTTTGCTTCACTTCTCGTGCCACGGCTTGGCTAACTGCTTTGCAACATGCAGGAACAGAATTTTCCTTAATCATTTTAGAGGATTTCATGTAAGTAGTACAACCCCCCCCTTTCTCTAGGGTTTTATCCCCCCTATGCTAAAAGTACTATATAACTTTTAACTTCTGATAAAAACTGAATAATTGTATTTGACTAATTAAGGCAGAAAGAGCTGTTAACTGTAAGAGGAAATCCATTAATAGCATGTAGAGGGAAATATTTCAGGGTGACTGATTTGCTCAAAGGCGCTGAACCTTGTGGAAGTGGGAATATAAGCAACGCAACGTAGTTTAATGCAAGCACGGGGCAGAGCATTAGCCAAGGCAGAAATAAGAGCTGCTCATTTATAGTCTACCTGAATCTGTGCTTTGGAGAAAAGTCTGCTGACCTCTCTGCATGTGGATTTTCATGTTATACAGCCCTTCACATCCTTCAAAGCACAGGTTTTCTTCTCTAGATTTCAGAAATGGATGAAAAGCCCAATGTTGGGTAGGTTTCAAATCAGGAAGCCTTTTTTGTTTCGATTGGGCTGTTTGATCTAATGGAAGGGGAGTATGTTTCTATATCATGAATAGCTCCTGCTTCTGAATCCTCTTTCCAGCAAAAAAGGGGGGTTGGGATGTGTATTGTGCACAGAGCACTTAACCCTCTCTGGTTTGGTGGAAACTTCAGCTTGAAAGTGATCACTTCTTAACACCCTTCCAAAAAAGTAGACTGGTTTCTGGGCTTTGTTCACCTTATGCCAAAGGGGAAAATGTCTTCATTTTTACTGCCTGGGATTTGCATGAAATCCCATTTTTTAACAAGCTACAGCGCAGCTACAAAAATAGCCTCCAAATGGGAATAGACTTTTTAGTCTGCAGTGATATTTTTCAGCCGCTGCTAGACCCACACTTTCATGTCCTTGCTATAAAGCCACAGTTATCCCTGCCCTACTGCTTAAACCATGCTATAGGACATATATAATGAATATATTTCTTATCCCTATATTGCTCTCTCACAGAGACCTCATGAATACTGCTTGCTAAAAGCAAGTTATGGTCACTATGAGTTGGCCTCCTCATCCCCATCAGGTAAAGCTTATTCTTATTCTGTACATGGTAAATTTAAGCGAAGAGAGGTTAAGGTGACGTTTTCAAGTACGTCCACTAATTCTGAGCACCTAAGATGAGGCATCTACACTGCTAGGCGATTCCAATAGGAAACTGTGATGCTCAGATGGATAGCCCAAATCAATTAGATGATTGGAAACATCAGCCTAAGGGACCAGAAACAACCCAATAATCAGCAGAGCTGCAATTAGAACCCAAAGAGCCCGAATTCCCAATCCATGGGCTGTACCTACTACTGCTGTTATAAATACTTGGCCAAGGAGTAGGACGTTATATTTTCAAACCAGTGAGCAAACAACAGCCCTTGCAAGATCCTATAAAACTATGAAACTATCCCTGCCACGCTTGTGGCAGCATTGGGACTGGAAATCACATCACACCTTATGCTATTCCACTTTGCAAACACAAGAATGACGCTGATACCAGAGGCCCGTGACCCACCCAGTGCCTATGGCTCTGGGAGCTTATCTGGATACATGATGCAGTTACGTTCTGTTTCTGACCCATATTTACTACAGCAATAACTGCTCTCCATAGTAATCCTACAGCACTTCTGTCCCTCTTGGAGGAAGGTTTAAGTCTCAGCTGGAACATGGCACTGTGGAGCTTCGCTGTTGCAGCGGCCCTGAAACTTCATCACCGTGTAGAAACTTAATCTATTTGAAAGCTCTTTCAGAACAGCATGGTCTGCAGAATAGATTTAGGGGCCTGGCTTGACTGGGGTAGGTGGAAAACTGCAAGGAGAATGTAAATATGATAGTGTGTGATACACCGCTCACAGCTGGATGCAAATCAGGAGGAGCCTGGTGAGATGAATGGAAACATACTGGGATGGGAGGAAAATCAGCCCTAGTGTTTGCAATAAGAGGAAGAGCAAGAGCAGGGCAAGTTCCCAGACCTCTGTTATACAGAAAGCCAGCTGAGACCAGTTGTCTCCAACCTATGCCTTGCAGAAGACCCTCTGGCATCACCTGCAGGCACTTTTTTGCTTTCCCTCTATGCAGGTTTCTTCAGGTTGACAGAGTGAGCGAAGTCGGACGTTGCCTACCACATGTTATTTGCTCTGTAGTGTTGCCCGTAAACCAGTAAAGGGTGAGAGCTGTGCATCTAGTGGATCATTCTGGTCTTTACTGGTCCTGAAAGCTATGAGCCAGGAAGTGATGCAAACAGTGATAAAAGCAATGGATCAGGTCTAAGTGGGTCAAAAACCAGGTGGGAGTAGGTGGGTATAGCAGGGCAGCATATTCTGCTTTAGCAATATTTACACAAAGCTATTGTACTGGGAAGATCTTAACATTATCAGAGACTATAATATGCAGAGCCATTTACTCAGGGCTGCCTCTGGCCCCCCTTGTTAAAGCTATGCTTCATGAAGATGGGAAGAGGGTATAGTCACCTGGAACACAGTCGTCATAATTCATTCATGCATATTTCTAGCAGACAAGCCTTTATCAGCTATTTAGGGCCTGAGGCTACCACCTTGCATTATGTTGAATGGTAGTCTGTCCTGGAGCCAGCTTTGCTGGAAGCAGCTGTGTGCTGGGGCCTGAAAGCAGTCTGCCTCTGCCTGGAGTAATATGCCACCCAACATGAGCAAGACTGGTGCTCAATGAATTGTCCTCCATGGCTTCATCAAAAGAGCCATCTCCATCCAGGCCTCATTGAACGATGCTCATTGAACCAAGCCTATAATGACTGAAACTCTCTCCACAGGTGACTCCCTTCCAGGGAAGACAGTTATCTCCATTGCAGGGCAGGGGGCTCTGCAAGTGAAGGGACAGCACCTGCTCCTGAACCAAACAATGATCCTAGCAGAAGGATGGATCTTTTCTCTTCTCCTCCTTGGAGCCACCTCTGTTCCAGGTGAAGTTGAAACCTTTCTACTTATGTTGGGGGAGGGACTAAAAGCTGCTGCCTTCTGATGGCTGTTTGTGACATGACTTGTTGGCTTTGTGGCAGGCCAGTAGGGGGCGCTTCTGCGTTGAGCCACCCACCTCACTGTGCCCGACCACCTTCCAGGCTCCAGTGCCTCCCTGGGGGCGCCTCACATCTGGCCAACCCCCTTCCGGGAGCACACCCACTAGCCTGGGGGTTCCACTGCCAACACCCAGGGCTGGGCTTGATTCTGGCTCTGTGCACCCTGGGAAACACAGGCCTAGTAGCCCTTGAGGGTATTTGATTCACTTCAAGAACTTGGGATGCTTCCCTCGGTCAGAAGCACAAGTAGTGGTCTCCCTTAGTCAGCCGAAACAAGGGGACCCCAAGGCATAATCTAGACCCACTCCCAATAAGTCTCCCACACTAGGTACAAAGGAGAACTTCACTGGTTACAAGGGGTAGGGTTAGAATAGGGTACAGGGTACAGCAATATCAGAGAAATCCCATAGAGCAAACTCCTCTGGCTGGGTACCGTTTGATCACGCATCTGAGTTACTGCAAGCTATATATATCTGGTTAGATCTCAGGTAGCTTACTCACAAGTATCATCCAGAGGCAGGTGGAGATTCCCTCTGGAGGCAGGCCATTCACTGATCATGAGTTTTGAGAGAGAAAGCAAGTTTCAGATGGTTCAGCAATTCTTTCTCTTTGAGCCTTTCTCGTGGCTGCCGCCCCCTTCTCCTGGGCAGTCCTTAACTTATATAGCCCTTGTGACCTCATTTACCTGGTCCAATGGAGGCCAGCATCTGTTGGCTGTCAGCCAACCAATTTGAAATGCATCAGTAGTTGCTGGGCAGACTGGCAGTTCCGAGCTCCCCAGGGAGCCCAAGCCCCTCACCCAGGTAGGTGATGCCAGTCACGTAGGCAGAGGGAGCAGGTTTCCCCCCTCCCTCAGGAATGTGTCCAGCTCAGGTTACCTAAAGAGATAGGGTAAGGTGCGTCTCCTCTGCTGGGCCCATCCTAACCAAATTGTCACAGAGCAGAGTTTTTGGGGAGAAACAGAGGTGGCCTTCTGCCACAGGCTTCAAGCCAGTTTCCGGCAGACAAGTGCCCACCTCACAACAATAATCGGCACTTCCTGCAAACCTCACTGGCTGCCCACTTAGCCCTCCTTATCCAAGGAATTTACAGGGCTCCCTTTACCGCAGTCCCCTTACTACAGTCTCCCGTATTCGGCAGAACCTAATTCCTCACCCTGTCACTTTTCTCAGTGCGGGACTGTGGCAGTGCCCCCAAAGGGTGCCACTTCTCCGATCAGCTGTTGGGACCATAGCTGAGCACCAAATGAAGCCAGTTGTGAATCATCGCCACAAGGAAAAACCAGATCTACTATATTTATTTTCATGATGCTTCAGTAAGATGGGGAAGAGCTGCTTTCCCCATTTCACAGATAGAAACACAAAGGGACAAAGGTCCAGAGCCTCCACTACATAGGAACAGTGTGTCGAAACATGGAACTGACCCCAGGTCTCCAACATACCTTAGCCAACATCCCACTGAGCCTCCTCCATCCCTTGATAAGGCTCCCACAATTGTTACACCCTTTGCATCCACTCCACTCGGCTTTAGGGCCAGGCCTGCTGGCATTGTGAGCAATGGGCACAGCTCTTTGCCACCTGGCCATCTCTCAGCAGAAAGGCCAAGGAGCACTTTGGTGCAAGTACCCAATTACACCATCACCCCACAGGCCTCATCTGTTCTGGGGATCTGCCCCCATATGAGCCATCAGTGTCAGGCCAAGCCTGAAGCCTGGTCCCTAGCGTGGACCAGCAAGGCTTTGATATGCACTGATGCAGGTTACTCAGGGTTCAAGCAGCGAGAAGCGGCACTGGAGCAAACTGTGGCTTATACGGTCTGCAATAGGGATTAGCAACAATGCAGTTACACGTGAGTGGCCGGTCAGCACCTGGTGGAAGAAGCAGACTGCCTAGAGATGACGTCCTCAGAACTGGGTCAACAGGTGAATGGGACAATCTGGGGAAGGGTTGCTTCTTGTGCAGTAAAGCACAGCAGGTTGCCCCTTTTTTTCAATACAATGAAGATAGCACTTTCCAGACCTGTCAGTGGAGAGAGGTGGAAAATGAATGCAAATGTGACACTTTGCAGAGAGACAGAATTGAGATTTTTGTGAAAATGCCCTGATTTTGGTTTTTGTTATGGCCAAAATCTTAAATGGCACATGGGTGCATCCCCACAAGCATGCACGTGCATTTCCCTGGGGACATACAGCAGAGGCACATAGTTGTGCTGCTGCTATTTGTCCCTGGGGAAGGCCCCTGCAGGAAACTGCCTCGGGGTCGGGTAGGGGAAGCTGGGGCCAGCACCTGGGCCTTACCTAGGGTCCTGGGGGCTTCCTGGGGCCACAGCAGCAGCAATTTTGGTGTGCAGAGCTTGGCCAGCAGCCAGAGTGTGGCTCTGGCCAGCCAGGCTCCCGTTTCAGGTGCCGCACGCTGTAGACACGTGTACCACCCTGGTTTTTTATTTAAGCAGTTTTTTAGATGCTGGGATTTCCTGGTATCTAATTTTGGCCCTGTACTGCAAATACGTAGAGTGGATAACCTTTTCATGTGTGCTGCATGTGTTTCGAGGTGCCTCAAAATCCTTTGAGGTGCCACAAAGTGCACGTTCCCATTTGCCTGGCCTGGCACATGTTATGTTGCAAGCCATTGCTGCCTGCCATTCCTCCGCCTCCTTCTTGCCACACATTAACCAAGAGTCCTGAATTTCATTCCAAGCATAGCTGATCCCCTGTAGTACAACCAGGTAGCTGCTCACTTGCTGTTTTTGTCAGCGGTTATCAATCACCTGTACTCAGGATAAACCGCTCAGCCTTGAAACTCCTAGTTCATCCATCCAGAAGAGGAATGACCTTGCTGCTCCCAACAGCAGCAGAGGACCAAGAATATCCCTTCATGACTGAAATCTCAAACAGGTTCAAATCAGGGTTGCTAACAAGGAGTCTTCCCACTCCCTTCAGTGGGCTTTGGGTAAGGCTGATAGAGAACCAGTGTTTATGGGCGTGTCAAATGGGGGTTTACTTTGCCCTAAATTGAAGTGGTGGGCCATGTGTAGATTAAACGAGGGGCACGTGTGCACGACACTTTAAAGCGGGTTAAATGCTTTTGAACCGCTTTAATGGTGTCAGTGTTTCCACGTAGCAGCAGTGCATTAATTCCAGCCGCTGACACAAATTTGGCGGCGTAACACGCCTTAAATGACTTGGGGCACAGCAAAATAAAACTCCTCTGAGAAGTTTTAATTTGCTGCCCTACAGCCGCAGAGCGAAGCACCGGGCTCCGTGTAGCTCAGGGGCTCTGCAGGAAGCCCGTGCGGGCAGCCTGGCAGCAGCCCGGGAAGGCAGGCTCTGCCCAGGAAAAAAAAGCGGCTATCTTTTTTTTTCCCCTGGAGCCTGCCTGCCTGAGCTGCATGGGGGACCGGTGCTTCCCTCCACAGCTGCAGTGCGCCCGGGGATCACCTGAAGCCAGGTGCCGCCTGGGGGGGCCACCACTGCCGCAGAGGGAAGCACCAGGGGACTGCTCCACCTGCCGGCAGCTCGCCCTCCCCTCCCCACTGGAGAGGCAGGTGGCTATTCCTACCTTCTTCACTTGTAGCTGTGTAGGGAGCTCCAGACAAGACAGCTTCCTGGTCACAGAGCGATGTGGAGGGGAGGGACACGGGCTCAGAATGGGATGCCTGTGGGCAGGTGCCCCCAGCTGCAGGAAAAGGGCGCGGGGCACTGGGAGCAACCTGCAGCCTTGAGGGCAGGTTCTTTTTGCCCCTTCGTCACCTGCATTGGCCAAAACATTGGGTTACAGGCACAGGGAGCAATTCTGGCCCCAATGAAGTCACCAGGACATTTGCCTTCAGTGGAGCCAAGATATCACCCTGCGGTTTAACTACGGCATTAACGTAACAGAACAGCGGCGTGAGCACTGAAAGGCACACGTCATTTTTGGAGTGGCTTTTGAGCAAGTCATGTGTGCCAGAACAAGAGCATCGGGCTAAGCCTCTGGCCATGTTGAATGGGACTTTTGCTGTTGGCTTTGCTGAGAATAGGTTTTGGCCCCATGGGGCTGCACAGCAGCTCACTTCATTTCGAATTTCTGCTGTTTTGCAGCCAGGAAGGAAGCAGAGAACATGGAGGGGCAGACGTGTCAGGTCTCAGATCATAAAGCCATTGTCCAGGCCAGCACCAAGCGAGTGCAGAGCAGGAGGGCTGCCAATGACCCACACTACACTGGCAGTCTGTGCAAATGGAAAAACAAGTGCACAGCCCGCAAAGAAACCCCCTCTTCCAACCACACAGGGCAAGCTTCAGGTTTCGTTATTCATAATGCAGACGTTATACAGTCCATTTCAGTGACTTAGATAGTCCTTGAGGACACCAAGGGACTTTATCTTATGTGATCCATCCCCATAAAAATGCAGCGATCTCTGAGCTGGAACACAGCAGTTATGAGAAACTGTAACGTACCCCTGTATCCAAATGGCAGTGACCAGTGGGTGCCTATTTATCTTGGTACTTCAGCCATATTGTGCTATACTAGACTGTAAGTACAGTTCCCCCGGCCATTTCTTCAGTGTTCAGCATCATCACCTCCCAATATGACATTGAATCAGTAACAAAGGTGTAGTCCCTACATAAAACTTCCACATCTCCATTTGATCCAGTCACTAAACATTACCAGCCTCCTCACTTGTACATAGCGAATGTGCAGCTTTAAGTAGCTGGTCCTGCTGCTAATAGCAAAACCAGCTCTGGAATAAAGCTGTGTTTTTGGGCTGCCCCACGTTCGCACAGAAGTGCACCGTCTGGCTCCTGGAAAAGCCGATCTGTGGAGACGCTGGAGCCTGCAGAATTTATAGCAGCTTTAAACTCCTACTCATGTGAAATGCATAAAGCTGAGCTGGACACGGAGACCAGAAGCAAAAAAAAATGTACCCAACATTTATAAATATATAAAAATATTATAACAGTAATAAGGCACAGCACACTGGGATATCTGTAGGACAAGCGCTGTGTTCCCCCCTTACAGGGGTAACAACATGCAGAGCCCGGCTGTCATCCAGGAAAGCACGCTGCAGCCTGGGTCTTCCTTAGGGAAGAGCCTGCTGCCCTCCAGCTCCCGACGGAGCCCAGCTATCTTAGGCTTTTGCAACCCGGTCACCTGGGTGTAGGTAGGTGGGATGGGAGGAAAGGACACTAATGATGTTGTTTGGCTGAGAAAGAGGTCAGAAAGCTGGTGAAAGAGGGTCTTGGGCCTGCTGCTTGTGGCGGGGTTGGGAAGGCCGCGAGGTCCGTCCATCTTTGTAAGCAATTTTGAAACAAAAAGTATCCAGAGCCACAGGTTTTAATTTCATGGGGAGGTGCAGACCCTTGCATCTCGGCGGGGTCAAACTGGATCTACATCAGTCTTCCGACAGGCCGCTAAATCTTAGAGCGGCTGAATGAAAACGCAGGGAGCCCAATTCTGCCATCAGTTACCACGTCATTGGTGGATGCACTTAAGTAACTAAGAGCCGTGCTGAGCCCTGCTCCATCCACTTTAGAAGGATACCTTTAAAATAGTTATTTCTAGCTGCGCTACGTCAGGTTACCCATCCTTTGGACAGGGTCAGCAGTGCTAACATAGGGCAGCGGATTAAAAAGACGAGCGCTCCCCCTAAAGCGTTATTCTCTACTGTCTTTATTCATTTGGTAACCCTCTTCCCCAGGTGAGAGGACTCTGAAGCAATCCACCAGCAGGATCCGGATGGGACAGAGACCCCTCAGGGCATTTGCAAGGCACAATGCAACGAGTAAGTCCTTTTCCACCTCTGGTAGCTTTGCCTCGCGGGGACAGAAGACATTTTGTACCTGTATATTATTTTTTACCCCTTCATTCGTGAACAGATCCAACATGTTTGACTAGCTGTGACACTTAGGTAATGGAATAAGTGTTAATCATTACCACCTCCTGCAGGATTTGGCTATCATTTAAATACATGACTGGCGTCTCGCCTGGAATAGTAAAAGGTTGGCTATAGGACCACAGCCCCTATCTTTCACTGGCATGGAGCCTCACAGGCTGTATTTTCTAACGTGTCACTGCAAATGCTGGATCAACCTATGTGTGCTCCTGACACGGGGGCACGTCCAGGCTGCTGCAGGAGGGGAAGTGTAGCCCGGCTGCATCCCCCCATCCTTTCCCCCCATCCAGTCAGTTTGAGCCCGGAGTCGATGTAATCCACACTCGGGTCTGTGTGGGGAGGTGGTTGGAGGGTGAGGAGGTGAAGTGCAAAAACTAGGTAGACTATAGGTCAGATCTTCAATTCACTGAGGTGAGTTGAACTGCACCAGTTCATACAAGCTGGGGACCTGGCCCCCCGCAGCCTCTAGATGAGCCTCTGAAGCCACAGAGCAAGGATAAGGCCTGATAGACTCCAACTTTTGCTCTCCCTGGTTGTAAGCAGGTATGCTAATAAGCATGCATGCGGAGCCCCTGTTGTGAATCTGGTCCTCTCGAAATGCTAGAAGAGGCAAGGCACTTAAGGGATTAGGCTGCCAAACACCAACCCACTAGAAAGGGCCCTCAGATACTAGCGGATGCTGCATTGCCCTGGATACAGCCTCTCCGCTAACATATCCGTCTGCGTTTCCAGCATACAGAGCAAGGACACAGGGCATTTCTTGGGAATGAATGCCCATGCGGCACTAACAACCCCTTTGGCCAACACTGCCCATCAGCTCTCCCCAGCTGTTTATTAATCCTCAGGAAATACCCTGACGCCTCAAGCATTATGTTTAACGCTGGCCACCGTCATCTAGGATTTCAATGCCAGCAGACCCTGAAAGGGTGAACAATCATGCTGCTATGGCAGAGGGATTACCAGACTTTCACAGCCAGTACGCCGGCCTCCCCTTCCCACCTGCACTTCGTTACCAGTTATTAGCAACCAACTTCCAAGGGAAGTGGTGCTGGCTCCTACCTTGGGGGTTTTCAGAAGGAGGCTGGATAATCACCTAGCCGGGGTCATTTGATCCCAGCATTCAGTCCTGCCATGGCAGGGGGTCGCACTTGATGATCTGCTCAGGTCCCTTCTGACCCGACCAACTATGAAACTACGAAGCAATGCCTGGCTGTAGGGTGGGGAAGAGCTGTTCACCTGTGATGAGTTAAAAGTCCAGGAAATAGGGACATAATGCCTGCATTTCAAATAAAGGCACTGGTCTCCTCCGTCTGTCAGGACAGTAGCAACTTGTTTCCCAGCCCCAGCTAAGTTAAGCCTTTTTAACAAAGTAAGGACAAAGATAGCACAGCTATCGGAGGTGACCTATGCTTCAAGGGGAAGGAAAAAACACAATGCCCCAGATACCGACAAATTTTGAACCTGGGCTTCTAAACGTTATCCCAGACAGAGATGATCGCTTTTACCCAGGGATCCTAAAGCACAGTATAAGCATCCAGTACTAAGCATCTCATGAATACCCCACTCAGGGAGGTAGAACTATGCCCCTGTTACAAACCCCATGACTTGCCCGTAGTAACGCTGCGGCGCTGCGGGTGGTATCCAGGACTCGCTCCCCCAGCCCTCTCCTCTGCCCACTAGCTCAGGCTCCATCCTGGGGAGAGATGGAGAGAAAAGCTACCCCGGCTGAAAGTAGGAAGTGACAGGAGTGACATTGCCTCCCCGCCATCAGTACTGTAGCATCCTTTCTGTTATCCAGATCATGGGGAGTGGACCGCGTGGTTCAATGTTGATCATCCTGGTGGCGCCGGGGATTACGAGCGCTTAGAAGCCATCAGGTTTTACTTCAGGGAGAGGGTGTGTCAGAGACCCACGCGAATTGAAGCGCAAACCACAGACTGGGTTCCTGCAAAGCAGACGGGCCAAGTGGTCCACTCTAGCCCACGGGAGGGATTCTGGTGTTTGAATAAGGAGCAGCCCGCAGGAAAAGCCTGCTTGAATTATGCTGTACGCTTCCTGTGCCCTACAGGTAAGTGCGGCGGCTCTCCCCGGGGCAAGCAGTGATATTTGCTGTGTTACGTCTTGAGCGGTACAGTCCAACCTGCCATCCAACAAGACTATGCAGATACCAGCCTTGCTTCCAAGACTCTGCATAATCTTGTGCCCTGCCTACATCTCTGCTATTGTTCCTGCTCTTAGTTTTTAGGCTTTCACCCCCACCTACCGTACGCTTTCTCCATTTTCCATGGCGGGACCTTCAACCTCTTCATTGTAACCATGGGATCTCCCTCTCCACCTTCAGATCTGCCACAAGACTTGCCTACTTTCCTTTTTTCTCATCATCACCCTCATCGCTATCACTATCATGTATTCCTAGTCCATCATTACAGCCTCCTTGTCTCTACTCCGACTTGAACCCACAACATTTTGATGCCTCTAGCCCCAACCCAGCAGAGCCCGTGATTTCAATGGGACGACAGGTGTATTTACAATTAAGTACACCCATAAGCATCTTTTTGGCTTTGGGACCAAAGTGCTGCAGGGCTGAGGCCCTGTTATGCTACTTTTCTGGGTCTTGCCTTATGTCCTTATCCACAGAGCTTCTCTCATTGAAGTCAACAGGGGAACTCTCACTGGCTTCAAGAGTACAAAACTGGATGATACTTCTCTAGCTGGTTGTATACAGATCACGTATTATATGAATAACGCTTGCTGACTTCCACAGGAGATCTGGGCCCCATTGTGTTAGTCACTGTATGAACATATAGTGACCGGCAGTGTGTCCTGAAGGGTTTCCGATAGGTACTACAGCCATGAAATAACAGGCAAGTGCCTGAAGACATTCCCATTCTTCTAGCCCTGGCCCAAATGAAAAAGCACAGGTCTGCAGGACATGAGTAAAACTGGCCATACATTAACTGTGCATTTGAGGTCAGAGGCAGCTGGGCTGTTGTGAGGGCACCTCCTTGGGAGATGCATCACCCAGGGCTCCCTAGCGATGCAGCTCTGCCCTGCCCCAGCCATAGAGCAGCATCCATCCCACAGCCCGCAGGAAGGGCTGTACCTTGTACAGTAGTCCTGTAGGACCACTGCATGTCGCACAAGAGCCCCTGATCAGGCCATCAGAAAACAGGACCTGAGATGCCAGCTTGCCAGCAGTTTTAAACTGTCCATTTAAGTGGAGACGCTACCTTTCAAAACAGTCATTACGGTTCTGGGACTGCTATAATGTAGTTTGTAGTCCCCAACCATAAGAGCCCATTTAAAAGCATCTGTCTTTATAAGACAATGTAATTTTCCAGCACTGCTATTCAAAGTTAGCTAGGCATCTGTCTGCCTTGCTAGCAAATAATCTGACTGCCTGGCTGGTTTATAGCAACTCAGATGGAAGACTGCATTTACAAAACAATGGATTTGTCCATATTTAAGTTAAAAGAATTGTTAATACATATTGTATAGTGCCTTTTTTAAGTGCTCAGCGTCAACCCATGCTTTGTCATTTTGCCAGACAGGAGTTCCAGTCAATTCCTTCTAATAAGTTTTCAGAGGAAGTCTTAAGTGCCTAATGACACATGAAACCATTACTGCAAACAAGTTGGCCCATGAAAAGCTTTATAAATATACAAAGTAGTATTGTTCTGGTCCGCTCGCAGTAAAACAGGAATAATTCTCATGATGAGGGATGTATCTGTTACAAGGAACAATACTCATTTAATCATGATCAGAATGATTAGACCAGGTTGTGCCAACTACCTTTTGTCCTTCCTAATTGATTTAAATGTAATTCTTTTAGAAAACAAAGGCAAGTATGATACATTGGCCCGCATTTAAATGACAAGGTATGATTTATTAGGAAACAAAGTCATGAGATAAAAACACTGTATGTTGCCTTGAATTTAATGGCTTTTAATTCATTAGCGTACACAGGCTTCAGGCAGAATCATTCTATGACAATTCTTCACGTGGTTTTTCTCAGATCCTCTAACAGCTTTTGGGGGGTTTTAAAATCCAAAGAGATTAAAAGATCTAAATTCAAGTGCATGAAGGAACATGCAGTATATGTCATGTGTGCCTTAGTAACCCGGCAATGATGTTATTCAAGGTACTTTGCTGCAAGATTCAAAAAAGTATTGGTCTCCATGGTCGAAATGGAGCGAGTGCTCAGCAAAGTGTGGCCAAGCCGGTGTTCAGAAGCGCACCAGGACCTGCCTCGCTGAACGCCTCTGGGGTCTGCACTGTAATGACGCGACTGAGGAAGGGCGGCTCTGCACTGGACATGCTTGCTCAGGTGCTCGCATAAACTCGATTACGGTGTCCCTGACCTATAAGAAAGGATGTCATGGTCTTGTTTCAGCCCCGACCGGCCAGGAACCTCCCCTGCCCCCCCACCCACAAGTAAGCAGCCACCGCACCTGCGTGACAGTCACCTGATGGTGGTCCTGGTGGGTCAGGTTTGAAGCACGGTGGTGGGGCTGGATGGGGAATCAATACTAGCAGCATTTGCCGGTGATCTGCTGGCCAGTTGCACAGTGCTAGCTCTCTCCTTTGCTTGTTTGTGGCCGTTCAGTAGGACAGGACGGGACCCCCGGGTCATCAGATCGAATCATTGGCTACTGTAGGCAACCTCATCAGATAACTCATTCCTAAACCTATGAAGCTCTCTCTTAAAACTACTACTTCCCTACCCTTATCAGAGTCATACTCTTTACTCTTCTCATAGTTGGAGACCATGTTCTGTTTTCCAGCTGACATTTCCAGTAGTCTCCTAATTAGAGTCTCCTCATATTACAAAAGTTGCCACAGAGATGTTGTGCTACCCTGAATGGGGCAAGGACACGGCTTGAGTGACTGTGAATGGACAGAGGGTAGTCCCACAAAACACTCGCACTTTCTCTAACTGAATCACGGCCCATATTAAAGAGGATTGAGTATCACAGTTTTGGAGATCGCTTAGATCTTTTATTATGCACTGGTATCCCCTGATGGTGGCATCTCCTACTACTCCAACAAGGACAGAATTGAAGTTAGGGAGTTCATAGGCGCAGAACATCTTACGGGCTGGCCTGGACTGTGACATTCGCACTTGGATCTGTAGCCAACTTTCCACAAAAATTAAGGCATTTGGGTTTGTAACTTCAACTTGTCCTGCTGTACTGCTAGGGCCTGGTTACAAAGTGAGCAGCCTGTTCTGGATTCCAGTTTCTCTGAAGTTTAATGGTAAAAGGGATGGAGAGGAAATTTCCCTTATTTCGAGGCAGTTAGCTGTGGTTTCCATTGACAATAATAATACATTTAAAAGCTCTCCAGCCTGTCTGCTTCTAGGACACAGATGTTGACCATCAGTAAATGTGTGTTTTGGATCAAATTTATTTTGCATGCAGTATCCGCCTCCTTAAATCTAAATGACAAACAGGCCTGGGAACTATAATGTAAGGACTGCCAGGCCGAGCCTCAGTGCTGCAGTTTAACCTGGAATGCCTCTTTTCCAGCCTGCAACATCACTTGCACCATGGGCCACGTGAATGCCGACTGCGATGCCTGCATGTGCGAGGACCACGTGCTACACGGGATGGTCTCCCTACCAGACGGTGCGCCAGCCACTGACGCCGCGATCTACCTGCAGTCCAAGGAGATGAAACTCTTAACCAGGTCAGACAGAAAAGGGAAGTTCTGGATTCCTGGAGTGTGCCCGGATGGCAAAAACATTCTTAAAATAAAACAGGCCAAATACGCAACTGCTACTATCACCATGCCCAAAAGCTCCAAGAGACTCTCAACAATCAAGGTGCACCTGAAAAGAGCAGGTAAATGAACAACAAAGGCTGAATGCCTGAAAATCCTTCCTTTGGTCTAGCAAATGGCCCCGGTGATAAAGTTTATTGCTGGGATCCATTTGTTGCGAGTATTCAGCAGGTATAAATGCGATTAAGAAACTGTAAAGAAGAATGGATTTCCTTGTCTCCCGCAGGCAAACCATACCTTGTAAAGAATCCGGTGGACAAAGCAAGAAGAGTTGGGCAAAGTGTGGCACTCTGCTGTGACGCTGTTGGGGATCCTTCGCCTGATCAATATATCTGGTAAGAAATTAAAGGCAGACCCAGAAGATAGATCCCAGTTAAATTCCCGCTGTAGCATCTGCTAGATTTTTACCTCACTTACCAAGTCATCCATCGATGGCAACACAGACACAGGCAGATGTTAAAGCTGCAATGTGAATGCTTATTTTAGAAGCATGGAAATAACCAGCATATCATACAGGTTCCTAGCTTGTTGCCAATGCATCCCTCAGTGCCAGATTTGAACAGCAGTAACTTTATCTGGATAAACACAGTACTTTGTTCTACTTCAGTGCCTTTCATCTTGGGGTTTCAAAGTGCATCAGGAAGTTACAAGTTTGCAAACAGCCCAGGAGGTCCTAATATTAGTGCCACATTGCAAATGGAGAAACTGAGAAAGAGAGGTTTGGTGGCTCTTCCAAGGGCACGCTGCAAGCATGGGGTAAAGGCAGGAGTGTCACCAACAGCAAGCACAGCTTTCCTTTGTTTTACTAATTCGCTGGATTTTTATGATTTGTTTCTTAAAGGTATCACAATGGGACTTTGCTGGATTCCTCTGTGTATAAATATGATAATAAGCTGGTGTTAAAGAACGTGAAGGCAAACCAGGCAGGAGAGTATTTCTGCAAAGCTAGCAATGACGCAGGAGCTGTGAAATCCCAACCCGCCAAACTTTCTGTAATAGGTAAGAAAAGTTTCTGTAATAGGTAAGAAATGGATTAAGCAGCTCAGGAGCTACTGGCATGTAAAAAATTTGCAATTTTGAAAAAATGTTGCAGAAATACTATTCCAATAGTAGCACATTAATGCAAGATAAATTCACTATAAAAGTTGGGGTTTTTCAGGAAAAACGAAAACTTTGTTAGGTCACTACCAACGCTAATTTAAACACCAATACAAAGCAATTGCTCTGTTCACTTGTTGACATAACACTACGGTAGATCACTACTTTTAAATATTGGGACACAGGCAAGAACGTAAGCGCATGCCGTAAGTGCTGAAGTCCATCTCTGCTCAGCAACACAGCCAAGCAAGGAATGTATTTGATTTCAGTGGATGGAAGTATCCATTTCTGCAGCGGAGGGCTGATCTAAATCATGTGGTTTAAGTATGAGATTAGCTAAACCAGGGTTAGAGGCATTTAGCTAAACAGAAGCTTACAAGTAATTGGTTTGGTGGGTTTGTTTTCCTTTTTTCTGACTTTAAAAATGTATTTCTATTGATACAACATTTATCAAACCCTGAGGCATTCACAGAGCACGGCAGTGAAGCCGCTCTGCACTCATTAACAAAATCTGTTTTAACAGCGAAACATGAAGCGGCCTGCAATCCCAGACCCCACAGCTACCTCATTCGACTCCCACACGACTGCTTTCAAAACGCAACAAACTCTTTCTACTATGATGTTGGTAAATGTCCAGCAAAGACATGTGCCGGGAAGTTAGAGAAAGGACTCCGATGCAGAGACCGCGTTGCTTACTGCTGCGGGGTCTCTAAAATGGAAATGCGGGAGATTTTGTGCAGTGGCTACACACTTCCTACTAAAGTCACCATGGAGTGCGACTGCAGAAAATGCACCGAAACCAAGGTGACTGTTCGGGGAAGAGCCATAGCTGCAGATAATGGTGAACCTATGAGATTTGGCCACATATACATGGGGAACACCAGACTCAGCATGACTGGCTACAAGGGAACCTTCTCCATCCACATCCCAGCAGACACCGAGAGACTGGTGCTCACCTTTGTTGACCGCCTCCAAAAATTTGTGAATACAACAAAGGTTCTGCCGTTCAAAGAAAAGGGAGGAGCTGTTTTCCATGAGATCAAGTTGCTCAGAAAGAAAGCCCCCGTTACTCTAGACTCCGCTGCAACCAACACGATCCCCTTGGGGGACATGGTCGGAGATGATCCGATAGCTGAACTAGAAATTCCTCCCAACACATTTTACAGGCAGAATGGAGAACTCTACATGGGCAAAGTCAAGGCCAGCGTGACGTTCCTTGACCCAAGAAATGTCTCCACCGCCAGCGCGACACAAAGTGACCTGAACTATATAAATGAGGAAGGTGACATGTTCCCGCTGCGCACGTATGGCATGTTCTCAGTGGACTTCACTGATGAAAGAGGCACGGAGTCTCTTAATGCGGGCAAAGTAAAGGTCCACCTTGATGCCACTCAAGTCAAGATGCCAGGGCACCTAAAGAAGATGAAACTGTGGTCACTGAACCCAGAGACGGGATTATGGGAGGAAGAAGGGGGCTTCAGACTTGAAAAAAGCAGGCGTCGCAAACGGGAGGAAAGAACATTTTTGGTTGGGAATATGGAAATCAAAGAGAGGCGGCTTTTCAACTTAGATGTGCCAGAGAGCCGGAGGTGCTATGTCAAAGTACGAGCCTATAGAAGTGAAAGGTTTCTGCCAAGTGAACAGATTGAGGGGGTTGTGGTATCAGTGATCAACATGGAGCCACAGGCAGGTTTTGCATCCAACCCAAGAGCCTGGGGTCGTTTTGACAGTGTGGTCACTGGTCCCAATGGGGCTTGCCTACCAGCTTTCTGTGATGATCAAAACCCAGATGCCTACTCAGCTTACATCTTGGCAAACCTCGCGGGAGAAGAACTTGAAGCTGTGCCCTCTTCCCCCAAACTCAATCCAAATGCCATTGGCGTCCCACAGCCATATCTCGATAAGCTGAACTACCAGAGGACTGACCATGAGGATGCTAACGTTAAGAAAACAGCCTTCAGGATCAGCATGGCTAAACCGCAACCAAACACTGCAGATGAGAGCAATGGCCCCATTTATGCCTACGCAAACCTAAGGGAATGTGAGGAAGCTCCATATAGCGCAGCCCACTTTAGATTTTACAGAGTTGAAGGAGGCGAGTACGACTACAACACAGTTCCCTTCAATGAAGATGACCCTATGAGCTGGACCGAAGACTACCTAGCTTGGTGGCCTAAGCCCATGGAATTCAGGGCCTGTTACATCAAAGTAAAAATAAATGGCCCCCAGGAAGTGAACATCAGATCTCGCAACATGGGCGGCACGCACCCGCACACGGTTGGCCAGCTTTATGGCATCAGAGACGTACGCAGCATTCGCGATGTAGACCAGCCCAACCTTTCAACGGCCTGCCTGGAATTTAAGTGCAGCGGTATGCTCTATGACCAAGACCGTGTGGACCGCACGCTTGTACGAATCAGTCCCCAAGGCAGCTGTTACAGAGAAAGTGTCAACAGCATGCTCCATGAGTACCTAGTCAATCATCTTCCCATGGCTGTGAATAACGACTCAAGTGAGTACACCATGGTGGCTCCTCTTGACCCTCTTGGCCATAATTATGGGATCTACACAGTGACAGACCAGGACCCTAGGATAGCCAAGGAAATAGCTCTGGGAAGATGTTTTGATGGCACATCTGATGGTTCTTCTAGAGTGATGAAGAGCAACATAGGCATAGCATTAACTTTCAACTGCGCAGAAAGAAATGCTGCACAGCAAAGCTTATTCCAGTCTCTGAGGAATTCGGGCCAGCGGTCCCCACGAGGTTTCCAAAGAGACTGAGCGAGGCTCAGAAGGCAATGAGGGAGCCACGCTGGTCGGGACACAGGGAGAGGAATTAGCCTAAGCAGAAGTTCAACAAGAGCTCAGTATTCACCTGCACATTAGAAACATACCAAACCACCAATAAATAACCCATAACTGATACAATATAGTCTAAAGATATTATCGACCTGCAAATACGCTCATATAAACATATAAGCTCTAAAGAAGCTAGGCAGCCTTACTGAATTTCTCATGACATAATAAAGGTGCATAAACATCTGATTTTTACAGTCTGCCCCGAAGGAAAGGTATGAAGCAAAAAAACATTTGAGGCCAGGAGCATTAGAGGCTTAGCATCCTTTACTAAATGCAACCACCATAAAATCCTTCTGTCTGATATGAAACAGCTTCACACTTTAGAATAAAGGGGAAAAAATCCCGAGGTTAAATATTGTACATAAAATATTGTCCGGTGTGCTAAAGACTTTGCCAGCCCAAGTACATGGACAGTAGTTGATGACAACTAAAGGACAAAACTGACTTCTTCATACTGAATTCAACTGCAAGATTTTGTACTTGAAATGTAAATAATATTTTTATTTATTTCCCTGCTCATTTTAGATCTACTGTATGGATGCATTGCTAAATCACACAGTGCACTTACTTTATTTCGCATAATTTGCAGAATCTGGGAAAAAATAAATAAGTCACATGGGTTTTTCAGCTTCACTTGGCCAAAGTTCCAGCTCTGTTTTGCTTTTTGCATTATCCAAGCTGAGTCCCCATTCCACACTAGAGCAGAGTAATAAAAAGATCATTTTTGTATCTCTGATTGTGCTGTTTTACTTCTGTTTTTGGTGCACCTACATAAACATTCAAATAGCAGAGCTGAGCAAATAACAAGCAAGGAATAATTTGCTGAATTTCATCCCCCCCCCCAGTATCAATTGACAAACGCTTCCAAAATTTTCCATTTGAGCCAGTTTCTGGCTGTTCCAACAAGGCAGTGTCTAGCTGGAGAAGACTGATCCACTGAGCACATGCTATCTCTGAACTCCAGACAAGTGGCTACCAGCTGGTCCTACACCCATCGAAGCCAATGGGAAAACACGCACTGATTCCAGTGAGAGCAAGATAGCACCACTCAGACCCAACAAGCATCCATCATCAAGGACACTACACAGAAAGAAAGGGATTTCCTCATTCAGTCATAACCAAAATTACCTGGGGCTTATGCAGCCTGACCTCCAGCTGAGCTGAGATCCTGCTGTGGAGTTTGGACTGAAGCACCCGAGGTCATTTATAAAATATTCTGCAGAAAACAGGAAAAAAAAGTTATATTTAAAAAAATCCTGCTGTTTGAGCAGGAGCAGCTAAATGCTACAGTTACCAGTGCACTACAAAATGTCACGCGATCTCCTGCTCTGCACGGTACTGCTTTTACTCTCATTCATTAGTCTATAAGGTACAACTCTACCCTGCCTTCTGCCTGATCTCGGACTAACACAGCTAACTACCTCTCACTGTCTTTACTTGAAATTCAAGATAAGCATGCACAATCCAATTGCAGCATCCCTCCAGAGTCCAAGTACTGCAGCTCCCCTAATGAACTGGCAACTTAGCTCTCAAACTAAGCCTCAGTGGAAGGTGAATGCATGTGAGGTTTCTGCAATTTTCCCTGCCCTCTGAAAAGAGAACAGCTGTTCTGCTTAGCCAGCACTGATTTCTGATTACTCAGGCTGCCTTACTTGACCTCCACGCTAGGAACTGAATCATGCTAAGGTGCTTTAGTAAAAGCCTGGCACTTTATTCCACACCTTATCAGCAAATGCCCCACTGTGTGCGCTCTGCAAAAATAATCATTCCTCAATACTTACTAGGTTACATCCTCATATACCGAAAGCCTTTCGAAGCACTGCTTTCGGAAACCTGGGCTGAGATCTTTAGAGGTGCCTGGAGAATACAGATACCCAAATCTCACTCATCTCAACCATCATGCAAAAGACACTGGAAATCTTACAAATCCTCTTTTCTGCCATACAATTATTATAATAAAAGTGATATTTTTATATATAAGTGATATTCTCAGCCAGTGCTGTACCAAGATACTCAACAACTGAGAATTTCCTAACTGTGGCTATAAAAATGTGTTTTTGTATGGGAGAATAATTTAGTAGCCTTGAGCAAAATGGTGTTGGTTAAAAACTAAAATAGCAAGCAAAACTGAGTGACATTGGCTACGGCAGAGCTTAAACATTATTCCTGAATTATAATTGTGTATGGATTTATTGAATAGTTATGGTGAGCCTCAATAGAGGCTTAATTGGTCTTTATGTTTTAAAAAAATATATTTTCTTTCTGCATCAAGGAGATTATGCTATTTCTATACGGCATTAAGAGAGGCAAGGCTCAGATGCAGACAGTGCCATCTGCCGGTTCCTGAATGATCTTGAATAACAAAGTCACAAGTAAGGAAACATTTTTTGCTGTAGTTGGGACTGAAATTAGGGCACTTTGCAATGGTTAATTGCAACGAATCTTAAACAAAGTATAATCTGAAGGTTTTCTGCTTTACTCCGATACTAAATTCTTGACACAAAAAAAAAATCCCTCTTCCAGGGCTTCACTTCTATGCTAATGCCTGATACAAATATTGAGTCTTCTTTCACAGCGCTATCAGCTGATACCAAAAAAATAACACTGATGCTCTCCGACCTGATGGTGATGCTGTTGTGTTGCTGCATATCACTCTAAAATGTGGCTCATGAAATGACAAGGGGCATGCTCCAATGACTGAGTGGTTCTGCTGGATGAATATTAATATACAGCCAAACACAATGGGATTCATGCTCAGGATTTAGGGTTGGTACCAAGATGATCTTCTTTCTGCCTAAACCTCCTGAAGGCATCATCTTGCTGTAACGGCAACTTTATAGAGCTGCAGCCAGGTCCAAAAGCAAAGACATTTGAATACCAAAACCAGGGACATAAGAGGAATTATTTTAAATCACTTCTGTGACCGAGGCAGATGAACAATATAGGCTGATGGCCAGAAAACCTTTAATCCCAAATCATCTGAGTGTTCAGCAGCTCATCATTTTAATGGAAGTTGTATCTCCTCATGCCTTCTGGCCCATGCTGAACAAGCCCTGACCCATCTTTTCAATCCTTTGGGATCAAAAAAAATGGGGAAACGCTGGCACTACCCATGCTGTCTGTCTGGAGACTAGAGCACTTCAGTCGCTATCATTCAACCATAATCCCTAGACTACTTCTAAATTAAATCTGCCTCAGTATTCCTCATACTTCTATCACAGAGAGACTTCTATTACCACTTCAAAAGGCTCAATTATGACACTTCACCATTGACCAGCTTCTCAAGGATCTCGCAGTGGGCAACTGCTGGTGAAGGACAGCAGGAAAAAGCACTGAAAAACAATAGTTTTAATGACTAAACACACATCTTCCCACTGGGAGTGGTACTGAAAAGAAAAAAGAAAAAAAAGAGGTCAGAATTGCTGGCCCAATGACAATTGATATTTTAATATTTTTTTCCAATCCCACATTGTGACCGGAAGAAAATGTCAAAATATTAGATTTCTTTGTGGAACAGAAGAGTTCCAAGACATTTCAATGCAGAAAGAGCAGTCAACCAAGCATGTAGCTTTCGTTTCACAGATCAACTGGAAACATTTCAATTCAGCAAAAAACTCCATGATCTGGCAAGGTGACTTATTTATTTCAATTCTATAAGAGCTGTAGTCTTAGTTTCTCACAAACCCATTTTTTCCCTATAGATTGGCATCCCAAATAGACTACGCTTATTATTTTTAATTTTACTGTTACACTGAGAGCCCCTTGCCATAAGCCAGGATCTCATGGTACTAGCTACCAGGCAATACACAGAAGAAAGAGATGTGTGACCCAACGAGTTTACCATCTAACCATAAGACAAGGTGACAGATGGCTACATACAGGCAGTTGGAGAGTACAAAGAAATAAGATAATATTATTATCTTATATATCAGATATCTATTATCAGAGGCAGAAAAGGATCTTGGAGTCATCATTGATGCCAAGATGAACATGGGCCGGCAGTGTGGGGACTCGGTCAGGAAGGCCAACCGCACCTTGTCATGCATCCACAGATGCATCTTGAGCAGGTCCAGGGAGGTGATCCTCCCCCTCTACGCGGCACTAGTCAGGCCACAGCTGGAGTACTGCGTCCAGTTCTGGGCCCCGCACTTCAGGAGGGATGTGGACAGCATGGAGAGGGTCCAGAGGAGGCCACTCGCATGATCAGGGGGCAGCAGGGCAGGCCCTATGAGGAGAGGCGACAGGACCTGAACCTGTTCAGCCTCCACAAGAGAAGGCTGAGGGGGGATCTAGTGGCCTGTTACAAACTAGTCGGGGGGATCAGCAGGCGCTGGGGGAGTCCCTGTTCCCCCAAGCACCGCCAGGAGTGACCAGGAATAACGGTCACAAGCTGGCAGAGGGGAGGTTTAAGTTAGATATCAGGAGGCACGACTTCACTGTCAGGGCGGCTAGGGTCTGGAACCAACTTCCAAGAGAAGTGGTGCAGGCTCCTACCCGGGGGGGCTTTAAGAGGAGGCTAAATGTACACCTTGCGGGGGTCATTTGACCCCAGTACTCTTTCCTGCCATGGCAGGGGGTCAGACTAGGTGATCTGCTCGGGTCCCTTCTGACCCTACTATGAAACTATTAGGGTATATGGCAGATGATGGTCTCAATATACCACCTACCTAACTGTTGTCAAGTGATTTGTAGGCTCTGTGGCAAAACAGAGGTTGAAGGAGCATCTGGAGGACAACAATGTGGATGTTCACTGTGGGACTTCCAAAGAGCGAAGGCAGCATAACGGAAAGCAAAGAGGGGCAATTTAATAATTGAATATTGAGGTTGGAATCATGGGCCCTATAATAATGAGTGAGCAGTGATGGATAGGATGTGGATTAGCCATAATGGGTCTTGAAAATAAAGGCACTTGGTTACGTTTGATACAATAGAGAAGGGATAGGGTCACAAAGAGAGGGGGATAGGGTCAGAAGCCACACGGTAAAAACAATGTTTTTGAAGCAGCCCTTCTGGAAGGACACGAGCTAGCAAGATAGCATGCATCAAGACCATAGGAGAAAAGTACTGAAGTAACTAACACACAAGAAGACAAGAGCTAGGACAAATCTTCCAGCCATGTAGGTGAACAGGAAAGGTTGTAATTCAAAGCAGATTCTTTTATTAAGAATGCAAGACTTGGATGCAGTTTGGATCCAAGGTCCTAGGGGGAGATGCCCATGTTACAAGCCAGAGTGATAGACAGGATGGAAGTGTTGTCCATCCACAGGGACTGCAAAATAAAGGGAGCAGGGAGGATTTGGTGTTGGTGGGTAAGGATTAAAAACACTGTTTTAGTCTTGCTGACTTTGAGCTAGACAGCCAGAAATGGGCAAGCTTTTGGTTTGGACAGCAGGAGAGAAGTCTGTAGCAGGGGACAAGCTGTCTGTCTCTAAACACACACACACACACACACACACATGCACATACACGCACACACGCGCACACACACACACACATAATTACATACATATATATACAGACAGACAGACACAGAGTTATTGTTAATGTGCCATGAGTCCAGGCCCTGGGGTAGAAGAGGTAAATGAGAAAGAGTAGCAAGTGAAAGTTCACAAACGAAGCCATTTAGCTTCAACAAACAGATGAAAAAAGTAAAGCAGCAGGCAGGGCATCTACAATTTAAAACTGCTAAATATTTTCCACCATTTTAACACTTTTGCAATTCATAAGAC